AACCACCAGGAGTGATCTGTTTAATTAAGAAATAATTGTTAGGAGGCAATAGAATTTAAAGACTCCCCTCTCTTAAAAACAGTTACCTTTACAAAAAGGGATGGGAACTACTCTTCTAACTCACTAAACTTTCACTCGTTAATCAAAAATGTTTCTAAGCTTTTTCCTTTTAAGGCATTTTTTCCTAACAAATAAATTGAGACTAGCTTAATTGCATTTTCCAAATCACTAGCTATTTTGATAATAAAGTACAAGCAGGTAAATAAAAAAAGCTTTGAAGAAAATATTTGAAAATTAAAGGGTCTAGTAATTAGAACACAGATATAATATGATTATAATCAATTAACACATACATTTTTAATCGAGCAGTCACTTCTTCATTATGAGCACCTACTTCGTGCCAGACACTAACTGAGTTATAGAGGCTTCAAAGATAATAAGAGCTATCACTTTTCTCAAAAGAGATTGGGAAAAGATGTGAAAACAGAACAAAACAAAACAGCATTGGAGTTCAGTTTGAACATGAAGTTATACATAAAGTAAATAAAAGATCACCCATATAAAATGTCTAAAGGATTCAGAGAAAATTCACATAAAAGACAACAGATGACCTGAAATTAGAGTGAAAATTGAAATATACCATGAGTCAAATAGTTCAGAAAATGGGAGTACCCTGTGCAGAAACGGTCGATGACTAATGACACATCAAGGATGAGAGAGTGCAGGGGTTCCTTGATAGAATTGTGATTAGACAAAAATGAATCTCAGCAAATAGGCAGGAGTCAGATCACGAATGGCCTTGTAGGCTTGGCAAATGAACTCCAGTGTCACCTAGTAAAGGACGAGGAATCATGAAATGAGCAAATTCTGAAAAGATGACACTAGAAAGGAGGGGGCTATAGTATAGAGATGTTGGGAGTAGGACTTCAGTGAGGACACTATTGCAGCACCCAGAGGAAAAACCATTGCATTCCTAACTAGGGTGTAGCTCTGTGGATGAAAAGAACCACAGATGGTGTAGCAGTTATGTTGCTGGTTTCCCACATGGCTGACTGCAGGCGCATGTGCTTACATGCCCAAGATCACAGAAAGAGAATGGAAAAGGGACTAATTGTAGCATGGCTATCCACCTTCAGTGGTGAATTCTCACTTTCCCTCTGTTTCTGTCTCTCTCTCTCTCTCTCTCTCTCTCTGGTGAATGCACACACCGTAAGGCAAAAATCTCTAAAAAAAAAAAAAAAAAAGAAAAGAAAAGAAAACAAAAAGGAAAGGAGAAAAAAAAAGAGAAAAGTATCTATCTACCTGTATATATAATATATATAATAAATGTAAATTATATAATACATATATTATATTACATACATATATATCTTAGGGAAAGGGATAAAGAAAATGAGAAAGCACCTCCTTAGAAAATGATTATGCCATGATTCCTCTTCCTCCATTTCTCCATTAGGGATTCGGGGTATGCATACATAAATGCCTAGCATGTTTTTCAAGCTGCCCGGTCTAGGACTTAAATCATGAAGTCAGTCACGTGGAATCTAGTCACCTTACGCACTACACACTGGCTGGCCCACCATACAAAGATATATCTTTAGAAAAGTCAATGAAAATAAAGTCAATCATCACACCACTAGATAGCCCATAAAAGATACAAGATAGAACTGACAGTGTTTGATGATTATAGAGGAAAAAGAAAACAGATAAAAACAAAAATAAAAACAAACCTCTCGTGGGTAAAGACATAAACCTGGGCTCCCTTTCTATTCTCAACCAGACAAGGCTTGGAAAACACTTTGTTAAGTTGGTTCTTTGGTAGGAACTATACTAAGTGAAGATACCAATCTACTGAGCTGCTAATGTTCATAATGTTTAATATGACTATTCCAGAACACAGAAGAAACTACAACTACAGAAGTGCAATTTCTTATCATTTAGTTGAGAAATTTAACCCAGGGGTCAATTAAAATGCTAACTCAACCAGTAAAACTGGAGAATCCAATTCAATGTGTCCTTTTATATTATAGCTCAAATATAAAGAAAGGATGTGAAAGTCTAAGCACTATGATCTTACGTAGTGGTAAATGACTATGATACTGATAATAATAGGTCTTGCTCTAAGCACTAGAGAATTGCTGATAGTCCCATTTATTTATGGGATCATAGAAAAAAAGGAACAAGAGATTATATACATACATTGAATCCTCATGAATTGACTAAAAGGGATATTGCCAATGCTCCAATGCCAGGCTACTTTTTTTTTTCTTTTATAACTAAAATATTGTTAATTTTCTGGCTCCATTCATGGTAGAAATTGTCTCCTAATTTCATTTCCTAAGCATTTAATGACTTGTAAAAATACTTACAAAATGTTAAATGGAAAAGAAAAAGGATACTCATGCAAGGCATAATGTACCAATATTTTAACACAGATCTCGGATTGATTTTGTTGTTTTATAATATAATCATATACTATTTTATAATTAAGGATTAATGTGATATAACGAAAAGATTTGAAAATGTATTACCAATTTTTGAAAGAGAAATTTAAAGTTAAAATAATCTGCATCCATTTGAAAAGTAATCTTTTTATTAATGATAAACTTTATGTCTGCTCCCCTAATATTTTCTGTTCTCTGTTGTATGTATAAATATAATAACATAAATTACTTGTACCATTTTTAGATAAACAATATTATTTTAAAAGTACTCATACAAATAGACTATCTCTAGTCCACTCATTTTAAAATTGTTCTCATGAACATTTTTCCAGTTTTGGTTAAATCTTTACATTTTGCAATATTTATTAAAATATAGAAATAAAGGGATAATGATCTCTTTTATGTGTGGACTCTTAATTTTTTTCTTTTCTAAGATTACATTTGAAAAGCATTTAAGGGGCCAACTGGTGACATGGTTGACTATGAAGTTGAGTACAGGACCTGGCAACTTAAAAAACACCTTGCAGCTGAAAAAACACATCAGGCGTGTGTGCATGCCTGCCCAAAAGCACAAGAGGAAAAATGGAGAAAAAGAGATCATGATGTGACTATCCCCATGGGTGGGTGCTGTTTCACTTTCTCTCTCTGGTGAGCACACATACACTCTAGCAAATTTTTAAAAAAAGAATGAATGAATGAATGAATGAATGACAGAAAGAAAGAGAGAAAGAAAGAAAGGCAAGCTTTTCAAGACTATACCAAAGGGAAGAGTGATGCACTAAGAATTCTTCTAAGGATTTTAAAGTACATGGTCTACAAAGCCAGCAGATGACAATGGAGGTAAAGGTGCCTAGATCCCACATGGCTGATTCTACAGCTGGAATCCCATATTGGATAGCTTGAAGATCATGTTGGGAACATGTGTGTGTACCCAATATCCCAGGAGGAGAATGAAGCATAAGAGATTGTGGCATAGTCATTTTTGGGGGATTATATTTTATTTAAATTGTGCTAAGCTTTGGAGGAAAATATTATAATTTTTAAGGTTTTTAACTGTTTTTCTCCTAATAAAGATTCTCAAATATTCTTAGGTTAAAACCAAACTATTAGAACTGGTCTGCTATAACATGAGGTAAATCTCTTTCATATTCTTTCTTTCTTTTTTTTTTTTTTTTTGAGAGGTTTTTGCTATAGGGCGTGTGCTCTCGCCAGACAGACAGAGAGAGACGGAGAGATAGAAAGTGAGAAATTACCCCCCAGTGGGGATGGCCACGCCGCAATCCCTTCTCCTCCATTCTCCTCTTGGGATCTTGGGGATGCACACACATGCGCCTGGCGTGAGTTTTAAGCCACCAGGTCCAGGACGCGAACTACGGTCAACTACGTGGGAGTCCAACCACATAGCCATTACGCTAACTGCTGGTCCCTCTTTCATATTATTTCTTTGGGAAAAAAGTGTGAATATAAGATACTTCCATATTCTAGTAGGATATTTTTCTTACCAAAAGGAAAGTTTATGCATGTAAGGATACAAGGAAGTTGATGTTTATAAAGTCTACATTAGACTATGTGGTAATGACCTATGAAATATAAATATTACCCAAGTGCTAAGCTACTTTCTAAACTGTAGTTATAATTTAGTTTGTAGAAAATAAACTTCATAAGAATACATTAGGCAACTATAATTTGCTCAAATATTATAGTATAAATCTAGAATCTTGTCAGGAGCCATTAGTCACGTCTGGCTACTGAATGAAGTATTAGTGGTCTGAATAATACGTGTACTGTCATACACACCTCAACTTTCAAAGACTTAGTAGAAAAAAAGAATGCAATATATTTCAGTTATAATTTTTATGTTGATTATATGTTTGTTTAAAGAAAAGTATTTTTGATATAATAACTTAAAACAAATTAATAGCAGTGATTCTTTTACTTGTCTTTTTTAGGGAATATGCTTTTAACAAAGCTATTAGAAGTCTGAAATCATGTATATGACTTGCATTGTATTTCCAATGGCAACATTGGTCGAAACAACCGAAGTTGTACAAAGACATACTCTTCCTTTACAATTTCTGCATTAGTACAGTTTACAGGTTTACACTAGAAATGAAAATGATAAATGTTAGTTAGTTTTGAGCCTTACAAAGTAAGCTGAGGGGAAATTTTTGCATAATATAAGTTATTCATATAAACCAGATACAAGAAACCATCATAATAAAGAGTAACCATATATTATTAGGCAAAATAGAGAATAACTACAGTATTAATGTTTATTTTCAGTCTCTTATTTGTTCTATATATGGTATTAATTAATTTCAGAGAAATCCCTGCATTGGAGTACCTTAAGAATAGTTGTAATGCCTTTCAAGATACTTGAAAAAGAATGTGTCATAGAAAATTGATTTAATAAATTATAAATAAAATTATTTGCATAATAGCTCTGATACTGTGCCTTTAATGTCAACAATTAAACTGAAGTTTGGACCCAAATAACAACATTTATGCAATACTATTTAGAAACACACAAACTGATCTTTAAGTGTGTATTCATACCGTCATAAATCCATCCAGCAAACCTGAATCGGGTTTTGGAGGTGCCTGCAATCGTTCCATCGACCACTTTTCAATGATGGAAGAGACTTGGGTATTTTCTGTATTTAATATTCTGAACCCCGTCATATTAACACCACTGTATCGATAGGGCTCTACATCAAGAGCAAAGAGGTCCTGAAAGAAAAATTTGTTTGTATTATTCTCAGCAGAGTATATTCAAATGCATGTATTACTGAAATAATCACTTAATTCTTGCTTCCCTTAGTGTGCCTAACACTATTGTGTCTCAAGTGATGTAAATATCACAAATCACCAAGACTAAATAGATTGTCCTTGTGCTTTAGCAATGCAAATATATATTCACTGTACATAAACACTTTCATATCTACCATATTCTAATTCCACCAGTGAAACAATTTCCTCTATACCTTTCAATTAAGATTTACTTATCTTTTGGCCAGCAGTTGGTGTGGTGGTTGGGGGTGCTGGACTCCCACATGGAGAACTGCAGTTCAAGTCTGGGACCTGGCAGCTTGCTTTCTCACTTTTCCTCTCTCTCTCTCTCTTTCTCTCTCTCTCGTTCTGTCTCTCTGGTAAAATTAAAAATAAATAAATGAAGTTAATAAAATAATTCTTTTTAAAAAGTTTGCTTATCTTTCTTCTCCATGTTAAGAATAGCTTGTCCTGGGCCCAGCGAGTGAGGTATTAGTTAAGGTGTTGGACTCCCACATGGCCAACTGTAGTTCAAATCCTGGACCTGGCAGCCTGCTTTCTTTTTCTACTTCTCTCTTGTTCTTTCTTTGTCTCTCTCTGGTGAGTGCATGTGCCCTATATCAAATTAAAAATAATGATAATAATAATAATATTAAATAATTCTTTTTAAAAAAGAATAGCTTGTCCTTAAATTTTTTCCATTTATTTTTTTCATTTCATTTTCTTCCATACATTCAATCACATTATTATTTGTCTTACAAATTGGATATTTCAATAGGTGAACATTTCTCCCCAGTACTGTTGATAAAACTACGAAATATTTTCAACAGACCAACACCACACCTCTTTGTGCCATTAATGCTTTATGCATTAATATTTTACTTTAAACTAACATGTGTTTTTTCCATGTCCTGCTTCCTTGACTTATTATTGCCATTGTTTCGATTTGTTTTGTCAAGTTTCATTTTTGTTTTTGTTTTAAGAAGCAGGTCATGACATACGACATCTTATGAAAAGTACTTGAAAGCTGAGGAAAAAGTTTAAAAGACTGGCCTTTCGATTACAGAAACCTTATAATTCCTTTACTTTCCTAATACATCTTCATCATAACAAACACTTTACTTCTGTTGCCTGTTCTAGTCGGTGTAGAGTAAATGCTCTGGCTCTGCTCCACAGTTTTCCCTGGAGTGGAAGGTCAGAGCTATCAGGGAAGCTGGTTGTCACATGAGAACATGTAGCTTGTGAGACTTCTCTCTAGCTGGCATCAGTTCATCCTCAGAACTTACAGAAAACATTGAGAACCTAGGCTATGTTTTTTTAAGAATTATTTTATTTAATTAATTTGTTTATTTTAATTTGATGAGAGAGAGAGAAGAGAGAGAGAAAGTGAGAAAGCAAGCTGCCATGTCCAGAACTCAAACTGCAGCTGACCATGTAGAATCCAGTGCCCTTAACCACAGCACCTGCCGGTCCCAAGAACCCAGACAATATTAATGCCATTGGCCATGTGTACAGCTTGCCTCAAACTCATATGACTGCACAGGCTAGATAGTGGGAATAAAATTCAGTAGAACACGGTTGCCTTGACCCAAACTGTGTTCTGCGTTGTGAAAAAACATAAGAAATCTTCAGGCTTTTTATTTTTCAGTTTTTATAATCCAGCCAAAGGCTACGTTCAAGTACTAAATAAACAATGCACAGTAAAATAGGCTAAGGATTTAAAGGAATGGAAATGATAACTACAATTGGAGTCAGAAGGAAAAGAGATCACTTTAAATTCTTTCTCCCTCCCAAGAGGGCACTTGCCACAGAGAGACATGAGACAGGTTGAAGGGAAGCAATCCCAGTGGGGTGTGGTCATGGTGGAATCCTTTTTCCACCATTTCTCCATCCTTTCAGGTGTTTTGTTTTGTTTTAGACTTTTCCACCCCATTGGGCATGTGGACTCAACAGGGAGGCACAGAGAAAGAGCAAAAGAGAGAAATCAACCCTCAGCAGGATGGCCACACTACAATCCCCTCTTCCTTGTCTTCTTGGGACTTTGAGCACACAGGCACACATGCCCAGCATGCTTTTCAGGTTGCCGGGTCTAGGACTCAAACCAAAGAGTTAGTCATGTGAGATCTGGCTCTTAACCACCAAACCACCTGTTGGTCTCCATTCTGTCAGGATTTTAGGAATATATATATATATATATAGCTGTGATTCAACTCTACGTTCATGTAGGATCTGGCTCTCTGAACCACTATGCCACAGGATGAGCTCCATTTTCAATTCTTATATAGGGAAAACTTCACAGAACAGATGATAACGGAACCATAATGAGGATCAGAGCACGCTACCCCAAAATATGTTGGTGTGTTGGCATACTGAGTATTTTATGCTGAGGGAAACTGAGAAAACTGCAGAAACAGGAAGGAAACTCTCTGATCTTCTCTTCTTTCTCCCCTGAAGTAGGCCCAAAAGAATTCTATGATCTATACCACTTTAAGGAAATTAGAATTGTTGTCGTGGCAATGGAAGATAGAGGTTAGAAATTCTGTAAATTTTCTTTTTTTGTGTGATACAGGAGTCAGAGACAATGCACTTTTTAAATTACTTATTTAATTTATATTATCATTTCTAAATTTGACCAGAGAGAGAAGGGGAAAGAGAGAAAGCAAGATACTAGGTCCAGGACTTGAACCATGGTCAGACATGAGACTCCAACGTCTTAACCACCATGCCACCTACTATTTTTGACAATGGACGTTTTTAAGGAAATTTGAAGAGGGGTCAATTTAGGGGACAATACATTGAATTTTAAATATTTCATTTTATTTTTTGAGAGAATGTCTTAAGTTTGTTGTTTTGCTTGTTTTGCTATAGGGCTGTGTGCTTGCTGGAGAGACAGAAAAAGTAAGAAATCATCTCTCTGGTATAAAAGTAGTGAAAATAGTTATGGATACTGAAGACTGTGGAAAGAGATATGTGTTGGGGGGGAGGAGTACAGAGAAGGATAGCACAAGAACAAATAGAGAGGCACGACATTTGTGGGACACAGAAATGGTTTATCACCCATTGATGACAACATGCATAGTATTCTCTACTGGACCGGTCTCAAGTATTTCTTGTTAGGTAAATTCTCTTTGCAAGCCAAATGATGTATTGTGATTGAATGTTTTAAAAAATGATAATAATAATAATCAGAAAAAAAAAGAAAAGCTACTTGATGATAATGTGGATAGTAATGTCTTTGTCTTGACTGATATGCATGGTAATCATTCTGGAAAAAGAAATGTTATACACTGTAAAAATATACGTGATTAAATATAATATTGAAAAATAATTTTAAAATGTTTTCAGGATTTGACATTCAGGAGAATGGCTCATTTTGTTTTCTGTGAGCCTTCTACTTTTCAGTTATATACTACATATTGAATCCCTGTGAGTTTCTCAGTCTCAAACTTGACTATTTAAGAATGTAATTTGTTTTATGATGCAAATAAATATTACTTTTGGGACCAGCAGTTAGCATAATGGCTATGTTGCCGGACTGCCACATAGTCAACCGCGGTTTGCGTCCCAAACCTGGAGGCTTAAAACTCAAGCCAGTCGCGTGTGCGTGCATGCCCAAGATCCCGAGAGGAGAATGGAGGAGAAGGGATTGCGGTGTGACCATCCCCCCTGGGGGGTGATTTCTCACTTTCTGTCTCTCTGTCTCTCTCTGTCTGTCTGGCGAGCACAAGTGCCCTATAGCAAAAACTTCTCAAAAAAGAAATAAAAAAAAACTACTTTTATGCTTTGAAAAAATATTGAATGAAAAATTCAAGAAAGAAGCCAAAAAAAAAAAAAAGAAGAAGAAAGAGATGGCCCTTCAAGATGTTGGGTCCTGTACTCAAACCTTAGTTCTCCATGTGAGAGTCTAGTGCCTCAACCACTGCACTACCTACTGGCCCCGAAGTCTAAATATTTTGAAATGATCTTAATGAAACAGCAAGTACAATTTTTCTACAGTATGTAATAATTCAGGAACAATATACATGGACATTTAATAGATTTCAAATGAAAAAAAAGATAATTAAATCTCTAAATAAAGAAAATAATTGAAGGAGGAATAAAGAAAATTGAACAGAGGTCCAAAGTTAGAGAAATTCTCATATTTTGGTGGTGGATGGTAAAGAACTAGTGAAAGAGAGAGACAGTTGTTTAACAGAAGAAGAAAAACCGGGACAACATATTGATTTAAAAAAAATAGAGCTAAGAGTAAGTAGGTTTGATAAAAGGGTAATGTCAGATTTCATACGTAATGAAGTAAAATATTATGGTGGGTATGTGAAGAAAAAAATAAAGGTAACATTTAAGTAGAAAATTACAGCATATTAACTTTTGAAAAATCTAAACATAGACAAAACAGGATAGAAAATTTAATCTGCTGAAAGGGCAACTTCAATTAAACTCATTTTAAAAAGTGAACATAACACAAGAATTTTTGCTTTCCTAAAGAATTGATTTCTCAGCAAAACAATTTGAAAAATACATTATGTCCTGAAAGTCCTCTAAACCAATCTTAAAATAAAACATAATATTTTAAGTCAATACCTGAAATATTATTTCAAAATCATCTGCTTCCCACTAAGAGTTAATAGTTCTCTCTGATAATTTATTCTAGATTTTATTTAAAAATAAAGAATAACAACAACAGTGTGATTCACATTGTTTCTTCTCACTTCAAAACCTATTTTTATACTAGCAGTCATAGTAATAAAATTTAGAGCATTATATTTATGTTTTAATAAACTACTTACCAGAGTGGTAAAGATATAATGATAGTACTCTGTCATCATTCCCATAGCTAATGCCTAACGAAAAAATAAAAAATAAAAAAATACTATTACTGAAGGTATAGATTATATGAAATACATTATGTCAATAAGTGAGAACAAAATAGTAAGATGTAATGAAGAATCAACCCACAATATTCAAGTTACAACAAAATTAGGTTAAACTAAATCTTTTCCCAGTAGTTAAAGAAGATTAGTAGTTACTGAAGGAATTTCTGAACCAATTCTCTTGATAGAAAAGCTATTAGTTGAATGTTTGCAATTGAAAAGCTTATGGCTTTACACATTAAAGAAAGCATTAAATTTGACACAAAACCTGAAATTAGCACATCTTAGTTCCTTCTATTTGTAAAGTCTTCACTACAAATACTCTAATGAGGAACACCATTTTATTCTGATGAACAGTATTACTCAATTAGGAAAAAAGTGCTGCAAAGTTACAATACCAACAGGCTGCTTTTTTTTTTTTTTTAAGTATTTATAGATATTTTCTTAGCATGAATGAAGGAAATGTAAATCACCACTATTATTCAAAAAGTACATCTAATTAAATAACTGTGCTCTCTTTTGTATTAATCGACCAGTTGCAAATTACTGTTTTATTTCAATCCTCTACAGTTATCAATTTCAGGCTATCAATCTTAACACAATGACTTTTGGATTAGAATTTCTATGATAATAAGTGTCCATGTCATCTTCCCCCCTGAAAAGAGAAAAGGGTTTTAAAATAGCTTCTGATCATGAACAGTAGCTGGCAATAAAAGTTGGAAACAATGTACTTTTTTAGCTGAATAATGAGTTCTAGGAAAGGAGTATTCTCAGGTGCCTCTGCACAAACTCCTGAAGTAGCTGCCCCAGCTATACTCTGTATTCTATGAATAGAAAATCATCATGCTCTGATATTGCCATTAACTAGTTAGGTGGAATAAAATCTGTAGTTCTATAACATGAGTTATTCAGTTAAGACGAGAGAGAGATTTGCAAAAAATTTTGGAACATGTAAAATGTACAAAAGAAAGGAGAAACACTGATTAATGTAAGGTGAAATGAAAAAATTGAGCAGAAGGGAATTTAGGAATCAAATGACCGAATAATAAATCCTGAATGGATAGTAACTATCTAAGCCAAGAATGCTCTGATGAAATTTTATCTTATCAAAATGAGAGCAAATTTCCCTTATTAAACAAACATTTGTAAGATTATCTTTGTAGACGGGATTCTTTATTCCTGTTGGATAAGCACAGGGGCTTTCTATCTCTATAACTACTCAGTGACAGCTCACTATTATCCTTGTCAATGTCTTTTATTTTATCAACTCAATAGGAATAGAAATAGAGATATAATCAAAAGAAACAATAATTTAGATTTATAACTATAAATAATATTTTCACTGTGCCCAAATTGTTAGGTACTATTCTAAGCTCATTTCATATTTAAGACTCATAAAAAACCCTGTGAGGTAGATCCTATTATTATATCCATTTTATAGGTGAGGAAACTATGAAGTTAAAAAGCATAGGGCAGTGAGTAAACACGGACTCAAGGTCTTGGAGTTTGGATTAGAACACAATCTCTACTGTTACACTATTTTGGCCTAAAATAGCCGTTATACTCCCACACTTTGATTTCAATGGATAAGCCAAAATTGTACATTAGGCTGTTTTTCTAAGCTAGTGGCTAAGTTAGAGCCAATCACAGCAGCTAGGCTTCAGTCAATCATAGGCATCCCACTTTTTAAATCAAGTTACTGCAGACAAACTTCAGAATATAACCAATGTTTCCTCTACCTCACTTCCTCACTTATGTTTGGTGTACGACACTTTCCTGTTTGGTCAACTTAAAAAGCCGAGTTGACCACCAGGCTGGCCAGAGTTTTCCGGAAGTCCGGGAACAGCTGCCCAATTTAAATAGTGTTAAGATTTGCTCTAATAAAACTCTATTAAATTGGCTGGTTTATTTTTCTTTTAACTACCATTTTAAAAATGATATATTTTATATTCCTAAAGATGTAGATCCACTTTAGAAACTACACTATCTAATAATTTGAAAAACTAGGCATGAGAAATAGTGATTGTTTAAAAAATAATTGGAATAATAATAATAATAATTACAAAAAACAATGAAAAGATATTGAATGATGAAGTGGGGAGTTTAATGTCTCTGTATTGACTGACATGCACGGCAATCCCTTTTTTTAACTTTTTTTTATTTTTTATTATCATCATAATCTTCTTTATATTACATTGATTACATATAACTTTACAGTGTATTACATTGCTTTTTCAAAAGGGAATGCCATGCAAGTCAGTCAGTACAAAGACATTAATCTCCCCACTTCAACAATCAATATCTTTTCTATGTTTTCCCCAATCATTATTATTATTATTCCAATTATTTTTTAAAACAGTCAATCGCTATTTCTCATTTTGCTTGTAAAAATACTTTGCCCATCATGAAATACTTCTCAAACCAATCCAGTTGAGAATACTATACATGTCATCATCAACAGTTAATAAGCCATATTTGAAAAAGCAATGTAATACACTGTAAAGTTATATGCAATTCAATGGAATATACAGATTATGATGATAAAAAAACAACAACAACTAGGCATCTCAGACCAGTGCATGATTTCATTTCAAATAGTGCTTTGGTAGCAGGGGTGGGAGGGAATTAAGAGATATTTGGGGAGATAGTAGTTTGTTTCCAACGTAGGTATTCTGTCTGCACTGGCCACATAGGGTTTTTCTTCATCACCCCGAGAAGAAATCTGTATATTGAGTCTGCTTGTGGATTTCATTGACCTCTGAATTTTTTATTTTGAAAATAAAAGTCAATTATGGACTATAATGTAGAATCTAGAAAAAGCTAGGAATAAAAAAAGAAGATGCTGGTTATTTTTGATTAAGTACTCTCACTATAACTTTACTCACAAAAATAAACAAAAGGAATACTCTTGAAGGATTAGTTATTCATTTCCAGTGGGATCTAAAAGATTAAAAAAAGAACCCGTGCTGGACCTTTTTTAAATTATAGCCTGTTTCTTATCGCTACTTCTGAAAAAATCAGTATGCACACCTCAAACTACCTTAGAGAGAATAAAAGTAGCATATTGTACATAAGTACAAATAATATGAGTACTGTTAACAGAAAATTACTTGTACTATATCATCTCTCCCAGAAAAAAACACAGATTAGTTTGTCTAAAATCAAAACATGATTAGAAATCTCCAACATTGAGCTAGTATAGTTTTAATAATGCTGTATGACAAATTAACACATACAGTTATCTTGTCATTTAATTTGCAACAAGTTTATCCTTCAGTTTAGAAAGAAGTTAACAATGGTAAGTGGAAAAAAAAAACAATGATAAGTGGAAAGTGAGTTCTTCCTACACACTTACAAAATTTTTGTAAGAATTCTTTCTTCTAATTTTATTTATTATGGTTATTTTTTAATTTGACCAGAGAAAGACAGAGAGAGAGAAAGAAAGTGAGAGACCAAACTGCCAGGTCTAGAACTCAAACTGCAGATGGTCATATGGGAATCCACTGCCTTAACCACAATGTCACCTGCCAGCCCAGATACTTCTTAAATTTTTATTTTATTTTACTTCTTGCTACTGTAGGAATTTATTTGCATCTATTTTTACATTTTTCCAGGCTAAAAGTTTTTATTTCACACTCTCTGATCTAGACTTTGAAGTTCTTGATTACTATTTTTCCTCTGTGATAGAATGTCCTTGTAAGGTTTTACTTCAGAGCATCTTGGCTCAGCCTTAGGGGATTCTCTTTGACAAATGTGGATGAAGGTGTAATCATCTGCTATTGAAGCATGCACGCCAATTACTGCATTCAACTTGCCTCTAAGCAACTCTAGGCAGCCCCAAGCTCTACTCACTTTGAAAGCTTTTAGGTAGGCAAACTTGAAATATACTGCTGCTCAATATTTAGTAAAGGTTTGGTTAGTTTAAATAAATAAGTTAAATAAATTAAAGAAACAAATTGGGCTAATCTGATTGGAGTCATCCTTTCACTGGTATTCCTAATATTCACTCTCGAATAAGGCCAAATTAACTGAAAGCTCATCTACAAAGAGACTTCATAAAAAGTTCAGGAAGAATGTTATTTAAAGTAAAGCGTAATTGGAAGGAAAAAAAGAAATCCATGTATAGTGTTTTCATAATAGGCATTTAAAAAAAAAAACATACTGAAACTTCTTCTACTCTTCAACTCCTATATCATATCTTTAGAATTTCAACACTGCACTGTTGAGGAATCTCAGAAAAAAATAATAAAACATAAAATAGATCTCTGTGAAATGTACTGCTACATTTAGTAGAAAAAAATTTTTTGCTTTCATTATGAATTGATTTCTAGAGTAACATAAATCCAGATGTGAGACAAATGCCCTAAGGGAAAATGTAGGTTAAATAAAACAACCAACCAGCCACCGCTGGTCTGCCAGTGTTATAGGACCCTGACCATCCATTCTGTGTAATCTTAACTATCATGTTCTCATTTTACATTTGCTCTGATTTTTTTTATCTATAAACTTTATTAAAAGTGTATATTTTTCTGTTGTATATATTTAAACATTATCTTAGTTATGTTTTCATTTTGCAAATAGAATAGGTTATGCATAAGAAAACAAATACAATAAATATATCCAATAGAAGACAGACTATAAATACCATTATTAAAGATGATGAGTATTTTCACCTTTCTGACAGCAAAATAAGTCAGCTAATTCTTTACAGAAAAGACAATCGATTATTTACATACTGCTTAGAAGCCTAGAGAAAGCATACTAAAGCTGTCATTGAAATAAAGTGCTGCTCACTCCAGAAACAAAGGAAGGTCTCCTTCCAAGTCTGTATATTCTCAAAATGTGATCAAGTGTTGTTTTAAAATTATACAAAAAATAAATTCTGATTATAGATTTCAGTGGTTATTTTACCGTATCTATTAACCACCAAAGAATCCCCAAACCAAAAACCAAACATAAATCCTCATATACTTTATTACCCAAATATAATACTAGAGCAATTTTCCAAAACAAATTTTTTATTGTAGGGAA